ACGCGCACTAAGAGCAGGCAGCTAAGATAATTGCAAAGCACGAGGAGCACAGTTCTTACTGTGCTGCACGCCTGGCAGGGCACTGAACCTGCAGCAGGGCTGCTCCAAAGGCCGTGTCCCCATCACACAGACACTGCACAGTGCAGCAGTCCTCGTGCAACCTCTCACTGCTGGCAGCATCAATGGGCACAGCACCAAGTCCCCCAGCACGGCTGTCTGGGAGCCGTTGGCTTTATTACCCTCTGGAGATCATTAACTCCGTACCCAGAATTTCCAGGCATGCAGACAGGAGCTGAATGAGGATGATAAATGTCAGCTTTCTCCAAATGAGAACTGAATTCACTTTTCAGACTTCTCATGTGTGTGCTCACAAGTGGGACCTCGCGGCCGTCCTGCGCACAGCTGCTGCATGCAAACTCCAGGCAAACCCAGCTACCATTGTGCTGCGTGTCAGGAGAAGAAATATATATATATATATCCCTAAGCAGGGACTTCCCAGAGTCAGCAGACCCTGAAGGGATCATTGATCAGGATACTCTGGGGATGCTGCCAACTTGGCAAGAAACCCAAAGTTGGGCAGAAGCGAGACCCACGCATCCCACGCCTGTACTGAAAACTCACGGCCAGCTTCCTCCAGGAAGGAACAATGCATTTGTCTGTGGGATGTGAAGGTTTCTGTATTTCACTGATCCTGGGAGCAGGTGATTTAGGTGGCCAGGATACAACTCTCCTTTCTAACAGATATGTGGGTAACAGAAGGGAAAGCACAGACTCTGAGTTGCTGCCATCCAGGACCTCCCCATCTGCACACACTGACCGAGCGCATTGGGCAGAGGCTGAAGCTGGCAGCCCAACGCTGTTGGCATCCAGATGGGGTGGGACATTCAGACAGCAGTGATTTATGAGAATTGCACAGAAGAACCTTTTCCTGTAAAGAGGTGGCAGAACTGGTTCTGCAGACACTCCTCACGCTCACTTACTGATGGAAAGCAAGGTATTTATAGCGAGCGGGAGAGTTCAGGTGAAGTCATTCACCGGCCAATTACTTGCATGCCAGCTGAACACCATTATTGTTGTGTAAGCAGCACACAGCCTTGTTAAGTTGGGTTCCCGTTAATTGTCTCACCTGCAGAACCACCCCCTGCTCCTGCAGTGCCAACACAGCGGCTGAGGGGCGGCAATGTGCCCCACTTGCAGGGATCCTCGTCTGGCTCTCAAGGAGCAATTGTGGATGCAATTTGCTGAAACAATCACAAAGGTTGAAGAGAAGGACCTGAACACCTCGTTGGTGCTTTAATGGCACATTGATGGCCCCAGGTGGGGAGGAGCCCAGCTCTCCCTGCAGGCTTCCATGGCAGAGCCAGCACTGAAGGCATTAAGGAGAATGGATGTACATCTTCCCCGTGTGGGGCAAGTGAAGCATGATCCATGTCAGAGTGTAACTCACACTGTGCACAACTACATCCTAAAGCACTTTGGCACTGCTCTGGCCTTTGGCACACAGTAATTTCTCCATCCTGCCTCATAGCAGCTATATTGATAAGATTGGTCATCTTAAAAAAATAATAATATACATACAGTAGATTGTTTTCAGCTCTTGCAGCCGAGTTTGGCAGGATGGGGCTGTGCTTGGCAGGCATCCCCAGCTGCTGGGGAGCGATAAGCACGGCTGCCATGGCAGCTCCTTCCCCACAGCAGCTCCAGATGAGACAGGAAGGGTGGGACGGTGTGAGCCCCGGGTGTGTGACAAACAGGAGGCTGAGGCTGTGGTGATGCTGAAGAGGCACTGAAGGAAATGAAGCCCCATAGAGCTCACGGGCACAGCAATGAGTGGAACGGCTGTGGTTCTCACGTTTTTGTGTCTCTCTCCAGCTGTGCTGCAGCCCATGCAGAAGCTCTGTGCATTTCACCACTGAGCTGAACTCGAGCCCCATAAACACAGTGGTTTATGTGCTGGAACACCGGGAGATGTGACACAGCCTGAAGCTGCTGTTGGGGCTGAGTTTGGCTTTGAGAGCAAGGAATGGGTAGGAACAGAGCAGAGCTGTGCCAGGCTTCCTGCACAGGGCTGGCAGGGGGAGGTTTGGGTCCCAGGGAAGGCAGGCACAGTGAGCTGGCAGCAACTCAGTGCCCCATGTCTGCCAAACAGCACAGGCACTGTGTGCAGCAGCTGCTGGGATCGACTGGGAGCAGAGGAATGCTCTTGAGAAGCACCGACAGCCACAAACTGCACTTCCAGTGTGTGAGAGAAAAGGAGATGAGAAGGGAAAGGAGCCCAGCAGAGAAACAAAGCAAAGTGAAAGCAAAGCTCTGCCCTGGCTGTGCTCTGAGGATGCCTTCAGCTGTCAGAGCATCCTCCAGCCTGCCGCTGTGAGTCTCAGCCATCAGCCTCTACACCACAGAGAACACACACTGCCCGAGAACAACGCAGCTGCAGCTCTCCTGCCCCCTGCACGGGCAGTTTCTACCTGCAGAGAACTCGGAATAGGGCGAGACGAGCTCTGTGCGTGCCCTGACACTACTTTGCTTGCGGGTAGGCCCCTTTCCACCCGGGGAAGGAAGGAGAGCAGCAGCAGCAGCACGCAGCTCCCGAGCATCGCAGTGCTGGCGCACCCGGCCCACAGCGGCACCGCTCCGTTCCTGGGGCCGCCGCCGCCGCTGGGTACCACCGCCCTCTGCAGTCCCCGGGGAAAGGCGCAGCTCTGCCGCTCTCGTCAGCCCCCGCCTCCATCGCAGCGGGCTGCTTCGAGCTCCCTTTGATGTCAGTGAAGGCTGAGCCGATTTTGCAAGCCGTCCTTCCGGCCCCGTGCGCAGGGCGGGGGAGCGAGGTGATGCTCCTGGCACCGGGAGCTGATGCCCGTTGTGCTGCTGGACAAACGAACGTCGCTGCTTTGAAAGCTTTTCTTAGTAAAGGAAGCCGTACATGTAAAATTACATAATTTCCCTTTTGATGCTATAAGCGGAAACGGGGAGTTTTGTTTCAGGTTTGTGTTATTACCAATGCTGGAGCAGTTGCTGTGCAGCAGCACATTAATCACAAGAGCAGAGAGCTCTGTGGCTTTGCAAAGCACAAAGCAGGAGATGAGCCAAGGGCTCTGGCAGCTGGAGCTGCTTCTGACTCAGCTCAGAGAGCGAGGGAGCCCCAGCCTGCATCCCCAGCCCCGCCAGGCTCTCTGCGAGCTATGATGACACAGAAAATCACAGTTAGGAGAGCCTTGAAGGCTCGATGCAAGAGGAGGGCAGGCTTCGGGGAGAGCTGGAGCTCAGAGCTCACATATCTGTGTTTGGCTGCCACCTGCTCCTGGCACTACGTGATTTCCAGAACCCGACAAGCTGAGCCCAATTCATCCAGCTTTCAGTTTTGAGAAAGCTGGTGCAGTTTTCCCAGCTGATGAATTTGCAGCCTTATCTCCAGAGCTTCGATGGGGCCAAGGAGCAGCGCTTTGGTGCAGGGCCATGAGAGCTCAGCTGCAAACCCTCACACCAAGACCACCAGCTCAGCTCTGGGCACCAAAATCCCCAACGTCATGCAACTGCAAGACACCATAAACATGTCTCTATTGCACCTTATTGTCTTTCCTGCATGAGGTGAGCAGCACACACTGCTGTTTTGCCTCTCAGCCCCACAGCCAGCATTCCCCAAGTGCTCTGAGGACAGAATGGATCATTCTATCAGCTCCTCTAAGGCATTCGTCACCAGAAAACACTCATAGTGCGACTCCAGAGCTTGCTTCACAGCCTTGTTTCTTGAGCTGAGGGCAAAGAGTTGAGAAAATCCCACTGCCTTATTTGTGCCCAACCTCATTTTCACCTCATTTTCAGATGGCGTCCACAAGCTCTTTGTCCAAACCTCAGCTCTCTGCAAGCTCTACTCTGAGCATTCTACGCATCTGAAGAGCATCTCTGGTAGCCCTGGTGGCACTGAGCTCCCTGTCCCATTGCCTGGGTCCTGTGCGATGGCTGTTTGCTGAATGGGGCTTTTATTCCCCAGAAGGAGAGCTGGCAGAGGCACAGCAGGATTTCAGCTGCCCAGGGTAAAGGTGCAGTGTGGGGCTTTCAGCTCTGGCACCTCTGCCTCTGGTAAACCTGATGCCTTGGGCTCCTCTCAGTCCCCCCATTGGCAGCTTTGTCTCCCCGACACCCAGGGATGCATTGGGCCCCGAGATTGCAGCCCATCTCTGGTTTTAAGGAGAGGACCACAGAAAAAGAGAAGGAACTCATGGCTACCTCAACCTTAAAGCTTTTGTGCTGAGCTCCTGATCCGGCCTCAGCCTGCCTCATGTCCTTAGCACAGCCCTCCCTGCTCACACAGCTTCACTGCTCTCTTCTAATCAAATCTGTTTCTCCTCTTTCTCAGGCTCCTGACCGTCTCCTATTCCTCCTGCTCTGCCACCACCACCAGCGTTTACCAGAGCTGCAATTCACACTCGATGCGATGCAGAACAAAGGAAAAATAAAGTTTTGGTTAATTACAATCTGCATAAATCAGTTTATATTCAGGGACTTCGCAGGACCAGTTCTGCCTTCCCAAATGCTGATCCCACCAGCACAGCGTCTGTCTGTGATGCAGTGGTGCCTCCCTGCCTCTCTTGGCTGCATCAGAAAGTAGCCATAAGAGCAATCCGAGGCAAAGGCAAGCAGCCGGGATGCAAAACAAAAGCAAAAACAAACACAACACCACAACAGCTCAGATAACTGAATTGGAAGGGCAGAAAGGGAAAAAAAGGGGGAAAGGAGTCCTTCGGTGCAGTTATGCGGGGTACCCTATGCGGGTGGGTTAGACCCGATCCCAAAGAAGCCGTTATTTCCCCTTCAACCCGCACTTGCCCACGGCGGACGGCGCAGCAGCAGCGCCCGGTCGGACCGCAAACCGCACCGGCTGCGGGAGCGGCCGCTCGGGGCACCCCGTCCCGGTACCGGGGCTCCGTCCGACCCCCCCCTCCGCGCACCCCGGTCGGGGCAGCCCCCGCCCCGCTCCCCCATCCCCGTTCCCCGCTTACCTGCCCCCCGCTGCGGGCTGCGTGTGCCGCCTGCCCCGGTCCCGCTGCGGGGACATCGCCCGCTCTTTCCCTTTCGCTTTCCCTTTCCCTCTCCGCTACGGAGGAGGAGCGCCCCGGCCCCACCCGCATGGAGCTGCGGGGAGAGTTCGGCCCCCGACCCACGGAGGAGCCCGAAGGCGCTGCTCACAGCGAATGGAAGCGATGGAGGGAAGTGGCGGCGGCGCTGGAGGTTAAAGAGCTCGCGTTAGAGGTGCGAGCGGGGCAGAGAAACTCCCCGTACAGCTGTAGCCGCTCATCTCCACAACCCCCAGTGGCTCTGAAGAAAGCTGTTTGCTTTTGACCCCCTCGGAAACATTTATTTCTACAAACAGAAGCGAAGAAATGAGGCAGCAGCCCAGAGCAGAGGCTGGCAGAGGCAGCAGGGATTTCACCTTCTTAAATAATTGGCTTTTTCCTCGTTTGCTTTTATAGTTTTTGTTTGAGATGGAGCAGAAGGCACGGGGCAGGGCTCAGTGCTGCAGCAGCTGAGGATGAACAGTGACTGCACGGCTGCTACAAGCAGGCACAGCCCAGGGCTGTGAACACAGGGACGGGCAGAACCGCTGCTGTTCGGATGCACAGAACAACTCCTAACTGAAAACGATCCGATACACAAACAGCACCGGGCTGTTAAACGATGAAACTCCACCAACGTCCAACAGAAAGGTGCCCCTTTGAGCAAGGATTGAACCAGCTGGAAGCTATTCAATTAAAGGAAGAGGGCTGGCACTCGGTCAAGATACAACCTAGTTCTTCTCCAATGTTTCACAGGGCTCCAGAATCAAGATCCACATTCTACAGGGACCACGTGAAAGAAGTTGTTACTCAATAGCAGTTCTACACCCTGCTTTGTCTCTGGCCCTCATTGAGGATTACAAGCAGCCCAGCAGCCCCAGGTACCCCGTTATCTCACCTCACTGCTTGCCCACTGTCACACTGAACTTGTGGTTGGGAGGAAATAAAGTAGGAGAGGAAGAGTGGCTCAGGTTTTTGAAGCCCATTTGTGGAGCTACAGACAGCAGTGACAGACAGTGATAAGCTGTAAGGAAACCTCCCCCCCCTTTGGCTCAGAACACATCAACAAAAATAAATCAACCACCATAAAGTCTACAGGACTGTAAAGAGAAGCACCTCTGGTATTTGTATAACAAAAGATGATGCAACAAAGTCAGAGAACGCTTCATGTGAATGCGAATCCCAGATATGATTTTATTCAGAATTTTACAAACAATAAGCATTTTTCTATAAAACAAAACCAAAAACAACGGCAGAGGGTAAGAATCAATTCAGTTAAGAGTATTTACATTCTCAGAAGAAGTTTCCATGTTTCTATATACAAGGCTGTGGCCATTACCAGCAGGTCGAAGCACCCCAAAGGCACGTATGAGCATCACGTTATGCTGCCTAAGCTGATTCTGTGCTTTAAGCAAAGGCTTTACAAGTTAAGGTCCTATTCTACAAATACTGAAACACAAATGTAATCACAGACACAGTCCCAACCATTTCCTCAGGTGCTTGTTGTGCTCACGGTCCCCAGGGAGATAAATGAACCCATGGGTGAGGCCGTGAAACACAAGCAGCTGTAAACAGAGGTGGGGATAACTCATGTTCATCTCAAGTTCCACGAGATCAGCAAGACAGTATCATCATCTCTCCAAAGGAAAGTCCCCTGGAAGAACAACACTTTCACAACATACTTGAGTGCATAGAGAAAATTAATGCTGAAGTGATGCTTCTCCTCAGCCTGGCTCATCCCAAGCTGCCTGCTTGAGGAACCATTAGAAGATGTTCTTGAGAGCACAATATCCAGAGCCAGGAGAGTGGTATCAGAGAATCACACACTACTGAGTGTGAACATCAGCCTGAGGAAACCGTGATGCTTTTTGAGCTAACGATATTCCCACTTGCAAGCAAAGAAACCAAAGTCTGTGCATCCAAACCAAAGGCTGTGCATCTAAACCAAAGGCTGTGCATCCAAACCAAAGGCTGTGCATCTTTCCCAGGGAGATGAAAGGAATCAAAGAGCTGGGAAGGAAGGGAACCCAGTTTCCAAGCCAAGGCCTTAATGCTGTTTTCCTCACTAGAGATCCTGCAGTGTGCAGCAATGCTCCCTGACCAGAGATCTCAGTGGTTGTAACGCACGATAAGGGCATCACAGCCCTCCTGCATTTCACAGGTTACAGCTCCCCTGAAAGCCAAACTCTGTATTACCCCCTTGTGCAGTGACCACACTCCTGGTTTTACCTCTTTCATAGGCAAATTCTGCCCAACCCCTCACAAAGCATCACTCCTCACTTGTTTGAGGATAACAGGACAGCTCTCAGCGAAACAAGGCCTTCCACCAGGGGCAGCAGAACAGATTCTGCACTACTGAGCAGCACCTTCATTAAGCAGGCACAACCTGACCCTAGCACTGAACTCCATCATTTGACACAGAAGGCACCCACAGCCCGTTTGGTGCAGATCTGACCTGCTGCCAGCACTGCCATCACCCTTACAGCTGGGTCAGACCCTCCACCCTCATATCCTGCTTGCCTGGATCAAAACCCCTGCGTGCTGATGTTATTAAAACATCCCCTGGGGTTCTTTTGGAAATATTTAGCAGCTGGATTCTGACTTCACATGAAAAGAAGTTCCCTGTTGCAGAGATAAGCTCGAGGATTAGGGCAGGAGAGGAAAGTAAACAAAGGAACACAGGATGCCATATTAAATAGATTGCTTCTGACTCGCTTTTAGATTTTAAGGAGATTAGCAAGGAAGAAAATATAACTTGTGACACAGAGGTTGTCGCTGTAGTAGGATTAGTCACAACCAGGAAATTCCCCCAATTTAATCATATTAAAAATCCCAAACAAGCACTTAATAAACATCAGAATCAAGAACAAAAGCTTGCTGTCGAGGCACAGGAAGGTGCAGAACCTGTGTGAAATAGCAGATGAAAGATAACAGCTAAACGAGACGTTGGATGGGCTGCAGCAGGAATTTCCACGGCACATCACATATCTCACATCTCAGGCTGTCTTCTCAAACAGTTTACAGGAAAAGATTCGTGGGGCAGGGCTGTTTACATTGGCAAATTCATGACAAGGAAGTTGCAGCTGAATGCTTTGCCTCAAATTCCTGTGGCGAGGCTTCTTCTGCAGCACAAAAAAGCTGCTTCTCAATGTTCCAGTTCCTATAAGCCTAATAGAGACGTGGCATGCAGAGAAAGTTATCTGTGCTGACTTTTAGAGCATATTCTTACAATTGCAATGAGTATTCTGCAAAAGGTGGGGTACACAACAAAAAGCATCACGGATTTGGGGTGAGGACCCGTTCCCATCACCATGCAGCAGCCTGCCTGCTTTCATGCACTTTCCTGACATTTACTTGCACACATCAAGGCTACCACACAATGTGCAGTGAAGCTTGCAAAATTCAGATTCTCAACTTACGCTCCACTTTTTCAAAGCACACGGTGAGTTTTAAACCCACCAGCCCATGGCCTTCTCTCAACCAGAAGTGACGTGGAAACTGCCAAAGCTTTGGGATTTCTCTTCCCAGAGGAGCTGACAGTGACAGCAGTGAGTTTCCCTGTGTCATCTGGGCCTGCTACCACCAGCCAGAGCACCGAGCACAAAGGTGAGAAGAAGCAGAGAAAGCAGTGAAACCCTCCAGCTTAAGCAAGCATGGCTGGCGAGGACAGGGTACAGGGCTTTGGTTAACAAAAGCCTCGGAGCAGCTGACGTTGGCACAGAGCTGCACAACACCCCAGAGCCAGCAGCCAGCAAGGCCCCAGCAGCCCTGAGCAGAGCAACTGGGGTTCTGCTCATGCAGCCTCTGCAAGACAGGACAACAGACAAACAAGTACCACAGGATGAATGCTTTCACCAGGCACATCTGTAATGCAGTAAGAAAGGCACAAAGGAGACCATGTGTATGCACACCTTTAAATAGACAAAGGCGATGCCAAGGGTGCTGCTGTGATCCAAGGAACAGTCTCAGCAGATTTTCACCATGATTTAAAAAAAAAAAAATAATAATAATCTTAACACAACTCACATGAACAATTAACAGGAGTGAAGGGAAATAAGAGACCTCACAGCAGGCCAACAGTTGGCAGCCAAGAATCGAAATCCAGTGGTCATAAGTGCACTGTAAGTGTTGATCTTGGGAATTCTCACCACGAGGTCAAAGCAGTGGCATGGATTATTGATAGAGTGTGCATGTGTGTGTGTGTGTGTGTGTGTGTGCAGAAAGGTCAGAAACTAAGACAGCAGAACTGCTTTTTGCCAACCGCATCGCACAGACTATGATTTGAAAACCCAAACAATTCAGAAAGACAATTTTCAGCAGTCACCCCCCCCCCCCCCCCCCCCCACACACACACACACAATAAAACCTTCTGCATCATTCTAAATAAACACAGCCTCAAAGTGGGCCACGTTCCAGTGTCAGATGTAAACAACGTCACCAAAAAGTTGTAGCTGAAATCCAGCGTTGGATTCGAAAGGATTCTGTCAGCAGAACCTCAGTGCTGTGTTCTGTGCAAGACCATCCTTTCAGCCTACACACAGCACACCAAGTTAGAATTCATTCTCAAGAAAATCTTTCTTTGCACCTTTCTGAACCTGCTAGCAAACTCAGCACATACAAATTCACATAAGATCACAGTGGCATGTTTGCATGACCTTCACTCTAATAAATAAGTTTCCTGTCCAAAGACAGAAGTCAAGAAATCAAAAGTAATTAGCAGCTTCTTCTAGTGTTTCTAAATTCTTGATGGGCATCAGCTGTGAAGAAGACTGGCTGTGGTTCAGCTCACCTACACACTTACTTCCAAAGGTCTGATCAGATACTGTTTCTTGGTTAAAGGATTAAAACACATTGAAACAACTGGCTGAAAAACCAGTGAAGGCTACACAGTATTTGTGGTCATATAAAAAGAGAATATATGGAACACAGTGTTTAAATTAATAAATAAGGTTAAAATTGCAGGAAGAAGGGTTGCCACTAGCCCTTTCTAGAATGAGCATTAGGAGCAAATCCATTTAACTTTCAGTCCATCAG